TATTGACACTGGTTTCAGAGAGATTATATTCTTTCTTTAGCTTCTTGAAAGTCTTCAGAATATAATTAGCAAATAACCGATCAAGGGTATTTTCCTCTTTGCAATGCTATGCTTCTTGGGGTTCTCACAGTTCAATCATGTTTCTCATGTTGTTCAACACCTACTTGAAATTTTTGGATTTTCTGCTTTAAAGAGTTGCAGACAGGGTGTGACTCTGCACCCTCTGAATCTGAAGCCTGAATAACAGAGTGTTTATAAGAGAATACAAGGGAAAAGAGGGGAGGTCCCATTGGTTATAACTTTGCTTACCCCTTTTACTTTAGCTGACGTTATGGGATAATGTTACATATTTGAACCCATTTTGGTTCAAAAATTTGAACCAAATTTTTCACAGCTTCTCTATGAAGGCTGCAAACTGGATTTAAGTTTGCACTACCCTGTGCCAACTCTCCAAAGCCTATAGCTTCCTACCTCTAGAAAGACTGGTGAAAAGGGAAGAATAGCATAACTCCCATATTTCTGCTTAGACCTTTAAGCAATAAAATTGAAGTCCTCTTCTCTTTCAGGTCCACATGTGTTCTATTCCCAAACAGCATTAAGAACTTAAATGTTACAAAGGCTAGACTTTCAAGTACCTACAGCATCGACTGATGCTTGTTGATTGTCAGGCAGATCTTGCTGCTTGGATCACTGGCAACAATTACCCTTGTTTTTTAAGATGAGCTTGGTTTGGTCCACTCTGTTGGATATACAACAGATGTGAGTTACATCTAAGTTTGTACAGGATGTAGGGCAGCCTTTCTCAGCCTTTTTATCCTGGAAGAGCCCTTGATATAATTCTCAGGTCTCAGGGAACTCTGCATGAAAATAGCAAAAAAAAAATGAAATCTGCACAATACAATTCACTTAACTACACAAGCCATGTTGTACAATGTTTACGACAACGGCAAAGTGGCAGGCAGGCAGGCAGCTGGGTCAAGGTGCATAACATTTCCCACCACTGTGAGCCCTAGCACACAATGCTTATTTTTTTCCAATCATGATCTCTCATGGAACCCCTAGCAACCTCTTGCAGAACATTAAGATTCAGTGGAACCCTGTTGAGAAAGGCTGATGTGGGGATTTATAAGTCTATATTATCAGTGCAGGTTTCCATAACCAAATGTTAAATCTTCCATCAGCACCGCTGCTTAATAATTCCAAAGAGACAACTGGTTTGAACTTAAGCAACTTGGGAATATTTTTATTATTATTTCTGTTCTTTTCTCTACATTTCTGACACATTATTGAGTTTGTAACAACCTCTGCCAGCGCTCTACTGCTTTAAGAAAGGACAGTGGATTTGAGTCTTCTAAAGATACCCCAAATATCCTTGCCAGACAGTCCTGCTTGCTTTATTAAATAGGTAGAAGGGTTTAGTACAATGTATCTCAGTTTATTCACTGCAAGGAGTGGACGGTGTGATGTAATGAACTATTGGTTAGATTGTGACAAGGAAACTGAGTTTCAAGTCAGTTGCTAGCCATGGAAATTCACTGGGTGATTTTGAGCCACTTACTCCCTCTCAATCCAACCTACCTCGCAGATTTACTGTTGTGAGTGTGAAATGAAGGGAGATCCCATAGAAGTTGCTTTGCAGTCCTGGAGGGAAAATGGGATATAAATCTAATAAATAGACTCCTGTTGGTTGTAAGCATTCACCAACAGACATGTACTGACCTGGTACAAACCTTACCCAAAGCCATAATAAGATTTGTTTGGGTTTAAGTGTGTTTCTTGAATCTCATTCTGATGCATTGAACCATGCTTGATGGTGTAATTTTTTGTGTGAACCCAGCCCATGGTTTATCAACAGTTAAACCATGGCTTAGCATGAAGCACAGCCATGTACTACATGCAGGAAACAGGAATCATATCTGGTAGCCTGGCCATCTTATCCACATGCTGAATAGTCAGGATTTCTCCAGCAATGATCAAGACTTGGCCCACTCCTAAGCGAGTCCCGTCTCGTAATGCTGTCGTGGAGAAGCCTTGTTGCAGCAGGGTCAAGTTCCCAGATCCCTTTCCAGTGCATACAGCTGCAGTCCTCACAAGCAGCTGTTTATCTGACATTTGACAGTGAGAGTAAATTGGAAAGGAGTAAACTGCTAACAGGAAATAAGGAAGGACCTATGACCCAGCTTGCTTTTGTCTTTATAAACTAAGACTCCAAGCAGCAAATTTGGGGAGATTTGAGATTGGTGGGCCAACCAAGGCTGGGGAGTGGAGGCTGAGCCAGGGTTTGTGACCTTTTTTACTCAGTGTGTCCCCTAGACTTTTGGCTGGAGAACTGATGCTAATGTTGGACTAGCTGGGCTCTGAAGTTGGATGGAAAGGCTGTTCTCAAGAGGGTTGCCGGGAAAATATTTTACCATGCTGGGAGAAAACTGGAATGAAACTGATACTCTTCTGAATTCTGAGGGTCAGCTGTACAAACTGCCTATAAAACATAAATTCCTTAGCTTTTGTGTTTAGTGGGTAAAGTCTACAAGCCAGGGTGTGAATTCCCCAGCCAGGGGACATGATTTCAAAGAGTTGTCACTCAGCTTAAATGCTATTGTTGATGTCTTATATTTGCTTTAGCGTAAGAAAACTTATAACTGAAATCTCAATAAATGTGCCTTTTTGAGTCACTGGTTTGCTGTCATGTTAATTCCTATTTTGCAAAAATCATATTTTTAGTATTTCATTCCCTATTATGGTAATATCCCATTAGTAAAATAGTATTTAAAAAAAGCAAGTTCTATTCTGTAATGGTCTGAAATCCTTCTATTTAGTAGACTCATCTGCCAATTAAGCTAAAGTAAGTTTACAGCTCTACAGAGAAACTTCCTTCCTTCCTTCCTTCCTTCCTTCCTTCCTTCCTTCCTTTAGATATGTTCTAACCATGAGAAATTAGATTGCTGTCACTCTCATTTAGGCTTTCTTTCATATATAGATTGGTTGTTTAAACTGTATTTGAGACCTGTGAAATGTGAATGCATCTCATTGGGTTCTTCTACTTGAATGAT